ATGAATTCAAGAAGAAAATGATGAAAGATTTTGAAATGTCAAACTTGGGGCTCATGAGATATTTTCTTAGGATTCAAGTAAATCAAAGTCGAGGAAAAAATTTTCTTTCTCAGGAAAAGTATATTGTTGATCTTCTCAAAAAATTAAAAATGAGCGAGTGCAAGCCAATCTCTATTCCGATGGCCTTAAATGAAAAATTGCAAATTTATGATGATGCAGAAAAAGTTGATGCCACACTCTATAGAAAATTGATTGGATCACTGATTTATCTTAATACAAGGCCAGATATTACATATTCAGTCAGCTTATTATCCAGATTCATGAATGAACCAAGTAAACTACATTTTGCAGCAGCAAAAAGAATTTTGAGATTCTTTAAAGGAACCAAGAACCATGGCATCGAGTTTAAAAAGGAGAATAATTGCAAACTTGTTGGTTATACAAATAGTGATTGAGCTGGATCAGTTGATGATCGAAAGAGCACTTCCGGATACATCTTTTGTCTAGGATCAAATGTGATTTCCTGGAGTTCAAAAAAGCAGAAATTCGTTGCTTTATCATCAGTAGAAGCAGAGTATATCGCTGCTACAAATTCGACTTGTGAAGATCTTTGACTTAGAAGAATTTTGAAAGATTTAAAATTTGAGCAGGAAGGACCAACAACAATTTATTGCGACAATATGTCGACAATTGCGATGACAAAAAATCTAGTCTTTCATGTCAGGTCAAAATATATTGAGCTTCGACATCACTTTATAAGAGATTTAGTAAATCAAAAAGAAATATGCATGGGGTTTATAAATACCAATGACCAATCGGCCGATATGATGACGAAGCCAATGACAATTGATAAGTTCGAGAAATTCAAAGAAGCACTTGAAGATTACAAATTATTTTAGAACTTTTAACAACCATTCACACTTTTGATGGTTAAAACACAGCTGTAAAGACATGTTTTCCAGCTTGCATAGTTTGAACACTTGAATGTTAATTGGCTGCTGCTTTAATTTCCAGATTCCGGCTGTTTTATGAACATCAGATTGCTGTCCATATTAATTTCTAGATTCCAGCTTGCTTGTTGAGTATACAACTTGAATTAGGAATCTTATCCTTTGACCATTCAATGAATGAAGTTTTTGTAGGTTGAGTGTTCAATTTGAATTTGAACTCTTTGAAATCTTGAAGATTACAAATTATTCTAGAACTTTTAACAACTAACAGTTCCTAGTTAATTATTTATCTGCCGATGCAGTGTCATTAAAATGAAATAGTGAGAGGAAAAGAAGATGATAGCCAATTTTAGGGCATGGCACCTACTTTTGCTTAAATGCGAAAATTTGGCTTCAATCGGTTTTTAATTATCTGCACAATAAATGCAAAGTTAAAAGACGCGTGCATTCATCAGAAGTGAGAATAACTTTTGATTAGGTTTTGAGTGCTGAAACATTAATTAGTTTTTTTAATTATGCCCCTTTTGAACTTCATTAAAATTGGATTTTGAGGAAAAATGTACTTTAAAATAGTGATTTTTTTTTAAGAATGTGAGATTAAAAAATAAAGAAAAATTTTGAATTTATGTATAATATTATTTTATTGGAAAATGTATTTAAGTCAAAGTTAAACAATTAATATTAGTCACATCTTTTATCGATTCTACAACTTTTCAATCACATATTTTAAAATTTTTTATCAAAATATACTAAAAATTTAATTTTAATATCCACTAAACAGGAGTTTAATCAAAATCTTTTTGTTTTTTTTAATACTCTCCTAGACGTACACGAAAAGTTATTAATGACACATAATTGTTATTGCTGTCCATTTGATTAGCATGTCTGACTTCGCATAAAAGCCAAAAAATTGTTTTTCTTGGCAGTATGAAGACCATTTTGCCGACTGCTTCTTTCCTTGTTTTAAGAAAAGCCAAACATACTCTTAGTTATGCCTTTAAAAAGTCGTAATTTATATATTTTTGTCTTCCATACTGTCAAGATCTTGCAAGATATTCGTTGGAGACGAATCGCTCTCTACGTAGAAACATGCATGCATGAGAAAAAGAGAGACTGATTGTAATATTTTAACATTCTGCTTTTAATCATTTGAAGGGCTACTGTCTTCACTTAAAAGTTCAGAGTACAAATAAAGCTGGACTCACAAGATGCAATTGATGATCGTGCGAGTTTTAAATTATAACAATTTTATTTAGCCTGACTGCAAGGTCGCAACTGGAATAAACAGAACTAATTAATTCTTTTTCCCAGGATATCCACCTCCTAATCCGCCTCCAGCCCCAACGCCGAATCCACCACCAGCTCCTCCACCCAATCCACCACCTGCTCCGCCTCCAGCTCCACCACCTAATCCTCCACCAGCTCCAGCCCCAGCTCCACCGCCGAATCCACCACCAGCTCCAGCTCCTCCACCCAATCCACCACCAGCTCCGCCTCCAGCTCCTCCACCAGCTCCAGCACCACCGCCTAATCCACCACCAGCTCCTCCACCAGCTCCAGCTCCTCCACCCAATCCACCACCAGCTCCAGCACCACCGCCTAATCCACCAACAGCTCCACCTCCAGCTCCTCCACCAGCTCCAGCACCACCACCTAATCCACCACCAGCTCCTCCCCCAGCTCCAGCCCCACCGCCTAATCCACCACCAGCTCCTCCTCCAGCTCCACCACCTAATCCCCCACCAGCTCCGCCTCCAGCTCCTCCACCTAATCCACCACCAGCTCCTCCACCCAATCCGCCACCACCTCCTGCACCACCGCCAAAACCTCCTCCTCCAGCACCTCCACCTCCACCAGCTCCAGCTCCAGCCCCACCACCTACACCAGCACCCCCACCAAATCCAGCTCCTCCACCCAAACCTCCGCCAATACCTAGATTTTTTTCATCCTTGAAAGAACCCTCTGAGCCAGCAAGCTTCCTCGAAGTTGCGGTGCAAACAAGAACACCAACAAGGACAAGGAAAATAAACTTATTTGAACTCATCTTTTCAAGTATATGACAGTAAAAACTAACTCTCGATGAGATTCCAAGACTCGAAATTCGGATTTATATAATGAGTAGGATTCCCTGTTTTTTGAAATGGACTGGCAAATAGGCTCTTAAATATCTCCATCTTCTCATCCGTAAACCGCGTCGAATTTGTTAATGCAACCACCTTGGTCTAATAATCACTTTTGCCGTAACAAGACTATTGACGTATATATCCCCACCTTTAAAATTATGTCTCTGATAGTAAATTCGGCACATGCGAGCAAGGCATCTTCCCTCTTTCACTCTCATTCAAAGAGTCAAAGTTGATACGGAAAGAAGCATTCAATTAATGACAACAACTCACAGCTTTGAAAAAATTATTGTACATTCAGGGACGGAGCCAGGCTTTTTGTATTGTGTAGTCAAAAATTATAATTCTTCATATCGCTGTACTATTTGCATCCATAAAGTTTTCTTTTTAAAAGGATGAAAGTTAGAGTTTTCTCGCCCAAAATAACGCTCGAGCCGAATCAGGTGCTTTACGGGCGCCTTAAGGATGTTCGAGCGGAACTCGGGTGCTCCAAGGGCGGTAGGCTACAGTAACTCGTGCTCGTGCTTCTTCAATGTGCGAGCATGAAAATGTGTCCTTCAAGTTTTCAGGCACAGAAGCAGCCTGTAACTGTTATTCAGAAAGGACGAAAGATAAAGGGCCTGTTTGGGATGAAATTGTGAAGAAAAACAATCTTGAGGCTACTAAATTGGAGGAGGTTGCTACATTCTGGTTTGCTGATGTGATTTTTGGTTTTGAGTAGGGGTGAACACGGTTCGATTTGGACAGTTTGAGACAAATTTTCAAATCAAACCATTTAAAGCGGTTGGAAATTTTTCCAAACCAAACCAAACCAAACCACTTCGATTTCTAAACCAAACAAATTCAAACCATTTTTTTTCGATTTGGTTTGGTTTAAAACCACGGTTTAACAAAAAAATAATAATGATAATATATATCAAATAAGTTAAATCATAAGTATTAATCTAAAATTTCATGTTAAAACATAAATTGTATTATTAAAAAAGTACAAATCAAAGTTATATAATTATAATCATTTTAATGCAACAACATGATATAAATATTTTAAACTTTTAATCGATATAAATAACATCCATCTGCAAGTGTAATACATGATTCAATTTCTTCATAAATATAAAAATATAGTACATAAATTCATTGATTATAGTTAAATGATGTAAAATAATTAATAAAAGAAAATGATTAAAAAAATTTAAATACAATAGTATCTAACTACTATGACTTTTTGTGAATCATTCAAAGCTTCTACTAAATCTAATTATTGGTGAATTGCTTTAAGGAGACCGAAAAACAGACAATTATTAGAACAGAACAATATAAATACCAATAAGAATATAAAAATAATTACCAAAAAATAAAAGAATTTTGGTATTTTGACTTGAATTTGAGCAAAATTTGAGAAAATTATTAGAGAGAAATGAAATGTGCAAATTTGAATTAAAATCTAGATATTATTCTCTACTCAATTGTAATAGAGAATCAATAAACGTGGTTTAGCCCTTGTTTGATCCACATTTTTTCAAGATTGCATTTTTTTAAAACTCATTTTCAACCACATATTCTTCTATAAAATAATTATACACGAATTTCACAAACTTTTCCTTATTTTTTAACCACACATTCTCCAAAAAACTACTATTCCACAATTCATTTTATCCCAAAAAATGGGAATCAAACAGGGACTTAGTATCAGTTGTTCAACACTTTACCCAATTTGAAGGTTTTACATTCACAGTTGTTATGACTTATGAATATTTGGATATGATTAATTAATTAATTAATTAATTGAGATGTATAATTATCGATTTGAGTTTAATTGAATCATGTCTAATATAGATGTATCTTTTTAATTAAAATGTGTTAAATTTTAATTGGGTTAAATAAAATTTAGAATAATTTATTTTCAGATTTTTTTGGTAAACGGTTTAGCGGTTTGAAATGGTTTGCAAAGATTGAAACCTAAATCAAACTATTTCGAAGCAGTTTGATTCGGTTCAAAACCAAAACGTTGACAGATCCACATGGAACCAAACCAACGGTTCCAAGAAAACGATTTCGGTTCAATTTTGCGGTTTGACGATTTCGTTATTCAGCCCTAGTTTTGAGTGTACGTTGGACATTATGAATAAGAGCAAAGAACACGATTTTTTGAAATTCAAAAATAACTATTCTATAAGTACATCACTTTTCACTTCCTTTTTTCACAGCGTACACACATACAAGTGAGTGGGGTCCATGATTAAGTCTGAAAATTGTTGTAAAAAAAATGTTGTACAAACAACATTTTTTATTCAAAAATACCAAATATTCGCTCACTTATACGTCTAATTAAAAAAATAGTAATAATGATAAAATTGAGGGATCACTTGACCCCACAGGATCACGTGGGTCCGCCATTGTTGACATTAATGCATTCTTTTTTTAAACGAAAAATAAGTGTAAGAAATTAGCGAATAATTTTAATTTATACAAAATGGATTCATTTGTTTTTCTCATTTGAGTTTGTTAACGATCGAATTGTCTCATCCAAATCTATTTATATATAAATATGAAAAAGAAGAAGTTCGGGAACTGTTTTATTTCTTTCTCTCGTTTTCTTAGGCTAAGAAACAAAGTATTCATTACGCTCGTGATTGGTAGATATTTTTTTTAGGAAAAAATTATGTGAAAAGTGATTTTTTTGAAAAATATGTGGTTAAAAAATAAGAAAAAACTTCATCTTTTCGAAACGATAATAGGGAAGCTATTATGCCATCTTCAGTGGATATTAAAATCAAATTTTTAGTAGATTTTGATAAAAATTGATGAAACGTGTAGTTGAAAAGTTGTGAATTTCATAAAAAAAATGTGATTAAATTAATCAATTGTTGAATTTAATTTATATTAAAATCTAAAATTCTAACTCTACCAAACTATGAATTATATCTATTCCATATATGACGATCAAAGTGATACTAATAATGTCCCTTCTTAATGTAAGTATTACGTTTTAAATCCAATCGACTTTGGACATAAATTAGTTTAATATATATTGATGCGATTTATGACAGATCTATTATTTAATTAAATAATATTCAATTGAATTAAATAATGAAGTCTGTAGATTCAAATATTAATAATTTGTTAATCACAAGGAGTTGTGATTGTGAGATACAAATTACATATGATTGAATCTTAAATCATCCGTGGTCGTAAATAATGACGAGATACGAATATCCTTATTACAAATAGAATATCATGTGTGTCATCTCTTATTTGTGAAGTAAGTAGTTGATCTCACAAACTAAAGTGTGATGACATTTGAATGAATACGTAGACATTTTGTTATAGAACAAACTATTGGAGACCCGCTAGGAGATTCCACACGGATAACTATCTAAGTGTCAGTAATTAATCTCTAACGTTCGGTAGTAAAATTGGTCCTTTGACTTAAGGTCATCATAGTGTCTTATATGAGGAAAATTATGCTTTGATGGTGTTGGATATTGCCCTGTCAAGGGCCGCTAATATGACATCGTTCGGATATGTCAAGAATCGTCTGAATGTTGTAAATGATCAATAGAGAATTCCTCACTCTTAGATAGTAAGAGATTATGATCTGAATTTCATTCAATTGAGTCAATAACGAAATCCTTAACCAAGGTGTATCCAGAAGTCAAAAAGGAGTTTTCAACTTATATTAACTTAATAATGGAATTAAAGATATGATCGATAATCAGAATTAATACACTTCTATATCTCTTAATTGATCGGATCATATTGACGAAGAGATTATAGTTTCACGGTAAACGAATAAGTTTGATTTTGTCATACCATGTGACATTTTTCGTCACATGTATTGCCCTGAACATTGCTAGATGTTAATATAGAACGACTAACTTGAGTTGGTGATAAATTAAAGGGTGTTTTAATTTATCGATTTTAATTAGATCAAAATAATTATTTATGCCCTTAGGCATTGTGATCAGAAATATGATGGGTCGCAAAAAAAAAAAAAAAAAAGGAATTAGAAGATTGTGACTTGCCAATTAATTAATTTAACAAGCGTTAGATAAATTAATTAATTCAAGTATCGAATTTAATTAATGGGTCAATTAAATATTGGATCGTGTCAGTTAACAAGCATTGATTAATTAATTCAAGTACCAAATTTAATTAATGGGTCAATTAAATATTGGATCGTATAAGGCCAAGCCTATTTGGGCTTATATAAATAAGTTACTAGGGTTTTTAATTTATAGAGAATTTCACTATTGCTAACGCAAGAGGAGAAAACCTGATTCCTACAATTTTGTTCTCTGTGTGGAATTCCATTGGAGTCTGGACAAATGGACATGTGTAGGTGACAGATCAAGGTCGTTGGAAGAAAAATAAAAGTAAAGGAGTTCGCAGATTCGCAAAAACGTACAATTTCTATCTAAATACAAAAAGATCATTGATGAAATTTGAAATTTATTTTATTTTTTTATTACGCATGATAAGTAGATTCCAAACACTTACATTCCTTTCATTGAGTAACAGTTTCCCCTAAAAAGTCTCTAATTAGTTGTTCGCAATTGGAGTATTGGAGTCATTATTTTTTATGTATGTAGGCTGTAGCCCCTATTTGGTGAGACTTAAAATGTGATAAAAATTTAAAGTCAAAGTTATTGATTAATTTTAACAATACTCAATTTATGAAATTCATAATTTTTTATCACACATTTTATTAATTTTTTATAAAAATACATTAAATATCTGATATTTATCTAATCAAAAAGGGGCATAATATGTATATCGCTCTTTCAAAACACAATTGTTTTGTAACTGTTCTCTCTCTTTTTGTTTTGTTGGGGGGGGGGGGGGGGAGGAGAAATAATATCTTTATTAATTTATTCATAATTTTTACGAGTTAAACGAATTTTAAAAAATTATTTCTTTTAAAAAAAAATACTCAGTTAGCTTGAATTGTTATAGGGAAAACTTTCTATTTGGGGAAGAGGGAGCAAGTAGATGAGTGGAACTGTTTACTGTGGAAGGGAGACTTGACACGA